TTTCTGCCTTTGTTGTGGTTAAGAATAGCTTGATAACTTTACAAATATAGTAAGATGAAGAAGCGAGTTCTATATCTTCATTCTCAATTGGCAAGAGAATAGGATCAACGTCCAAACTTCCACTTCTCTCGAATTTCACTACACTAGCTATCTATCTAAGCATCGCAATCCGATTCATACTCTGTGCAGTCGAGAAACAAGACACATAGATTAACACGTATACTTCGATGCGGAGAAATGAGAGGTAGTCAATGGAAGCGAAGGTTACGATGTGGGAAGCAGTACTGATGGAATTGAGGTTGTGGTGGTATCGGACGGAATCAGTAGTTTTCTGGTCCAACGGTACATCTCTTGATGACAACTGTTGGAGACACAACGTTGACGACAAGTTTTGGAGATACAGTTTGATTGGGAGATGTGTGGTAGTTGGAATAATTGTTATGTATTCGATTCGATAGGGTAAAGATGATTTTGAATCGATCGCCCGAGTAGAAATTTTGGTTCTGGGGAACGGATTTTAGACTGATCTAACTAAATTCTCATGGTGTAACTACATGAGCTGAAATGGGATGACGAGGAGTTGTTTCCTTGTTTGTATTGCAGATCTGGTCTGTAGGTATTCGTAATTTGGAGTGGTTTACTTGATGGTTGGAATACGGTATCATTCAGTCCGCGAGAAAATATGACTCTTGGAGTATACATTAAACTGGGTTCTCTTCCCATTATTCATCAGACCTCTCGGAATGATGTGTGCCACGAGTTTTCTATCATTTCTTGAAATTCTAGCATCACAGTTTATCCGTCGATAGTTGAGGTTAGTGATAGAGCCTAAAAATTGAGGAATAAAGAAAGGAAAGAGATAAGAGGCGACGAAGAAGCGATAGACTCCCTCCTCTGATCATGGTAGGCGACAAATAGCAGAAGATTTGTAGCAGACAGCAAGGAGGCTCCATCCAATCTCGGGAAAGGAAAAGAAAGTTGAAGGCATGATTTTACTCGCTGCAAAACTCCTTTTAATCCAATGGATTCCTCAAGTAAATTGATTCTCTCGAGTTATTTGAATCATCGGATTCATAAGATGACACCAATACTTCCTAATGGACAAATTTACGAGGAAAACAAGCATTTTGAATATTCAAGAGCAAAGATTGTACTGATCGGTATGCTGCTAATAAAACCCATACACAATCGCAATCACCATTAAAAGCTTCTCGTCTGTTTGCAACAAATACAACTCTCCTTACTTCAATCCCGCAAAAACGAGATTCTGCTTTCCATTGAGACGCGTCCATTCTTGCCTCTAGACTTATCATAGAATTGAAGCATCTTATTCCAGGTATGTCACCCTTACTAGAAACCATATGAGCAATCCTGCTATGATAGAAAGATAAGGTCTAAATACTTCAATGGGGTGCCAACTCGTTCACGTACGGTTTTCCACAATTTCTGAAGCTTCTCTCAGTTTGTTGATAAAGATGGTAGGCAGTTTATCTTTCGCGGTTATGTGAGACTTTACTTGCTAAGACTTCAATTGTCCTAGCAATAATGTGGTCATTTATGGCAGCATTTGACTTGAAATCAGAAGGGCTATCATTTGAGACGAATATGGCTTTGCATGCCCTAGTTGCATTGGTGGGGTGGATAACTGGTATCGATTACATCAACTTCTCTTATCCTTCTGCTACCTTCGGGTATGATTGGCGTGAGCTGTGGGTTTAGATAGTACTCGGGTCTTGGATCAATGAATGCTCATGTATATTCGAATTTTTTGATCTCTGGAACGAAAAAAACCAATTAAGAGAGAGATATTCAAATAAAGACCATAGTGTGAGTCACAAGGACACCATCAAGGCATAAATTTCACAGATGCTCACCAAAGTCAGACCTTAAGCTAAACAGTGACTTTCCTTTGTGACAGAATCTCAGAAGCAATTCTATACCAGCGTAAGCTGGCGGGGCAAACCTCAAAAAGAGATGGTTTTCGACGGCTGATCGTAGAATGCGTGTTTAGCTACTAAGCACGTTGAGACGTTGAAGATATACTAAAAGAGATGATAGTCCAGCCTCCTCCTTTCCAAAATCAAGACTAAATTGGAAACATCCACGAGAAACTCGAAGTCAGAGACTTAAATCGATGTGCCTTTAAATTTACACCTGAATCAATCGAAAAAGAAAGGTGATGCCTTGACCACGGTTTTTCTTAACCTCAGCATATTCTATTGTCTGCTAAAGCATGACATGTCATTTACCCTTTGATATTGACCTAGGTGGTTTCATCACTGTAAGCCTAATTTTGCTACTCTGAGATCCTGGGAGACATTCATGAATCGAAATGTTTCCGCAAATGTTTCCTTCACACTGAAATTTTCAAACAGAAGCAAACACGATGCCGACCATCGAAATAGCTGGGAAATATATCGTCGCTGCTGAGCCAAAAGCTCTCTGACTTGATCAACACAATTTCTCATTCTGAATGATACTCTCAATCAGAGCTGGATTCTCCAACTCCGAAGTTAAGTTTTGATGTGGTTGATCAAGCCCCGCTTTCGGATGTTCTTCAATAAAGCGAAAAGGGTTCGTGAGATATCTTCTGACGACAGTTGTCGAAATTCACCAGCTTGTTGCGAGATATTTGCTGGTTAAATCTGATGAAGCCTGTTAGGGGCGTGGGAAGCCTACCTTCAAAGAAATTCACACCACTGAGTTGAGATTTAAGGAGAACAGAAGTGCTGTAGTCTGGATATTGTACTCTCGGAATTACCTGACAAAATCCATTGATATCTGCGGAATCATCACCGCTAGGCGAAATTAGACCACTCATTTTAGAAGCCAGAGTAAGAGAATCTCAGCACGGCACCCTCGCTAGAACAATCAAAGACTCATTGCTAGTACTTTGAAATGCCGGAGCGAAGGGATTTTAACGCGATTGCTGGACCTCGAAAGTATTTGTAGTGACGAATATGATCTAAAACATTCAGAAGCTTGGGGTTATTGAGATATCTCAAATCACACTGCAGCCCAGACTATTGAATGTCCTGATCATGGTGTGTCTGTCAGTGACGATGCAATTAGCTCTTACCTTGAGCAACCTTAGTTTTGCGCTGCTGAGCTGTTTTGAGCGAGAAAAACAGATCAATGTGATTGAGTAGTAATCGCCAAAATATTGTATGATGACAGAATCTTAGACGGAACAAAGATACCTGTGGCTACTCAGGGCAGTAGGATTGTGCCAATCGCTATCGCTATCTAGACAAGAGAAGTTCTCTAAATATCAACATCTTGGTATTTGTAAGTTCTAAATAGAAGCTTTATAGCTCTCTTATACAGATTTTCCAAAGTACTTGAATCTTTCAAGATTGATCTAACATTCAAGAATGCCGAATCGCAAAAGAGTGTTTTGTCGTATAGTTCAGAACAGGCTCCGTAGCCACATCAATCAGATGGAATTCTATGATCTGAAGGGTTAATACTTTAGTAATGCTGCAATGAGAATTCTATTAAAGCAAGCGGTGATGAGTCCAAGATGGATTTCAACCTCAACAAATATATGTGATGGTTGTGACAAACTTGAATGGAGTGAAATGGAGGGGAGAGGGTGTCATCACGTGATACTATAACCCTGATCCGTGCCCGATTGGTCATACCCCTCTCAATCCACTTTTGCAAGTCACTTCACATGCACGCGTTCAAACATATCTACAAAGCACCGACACCAAATATTACCCAAACATTACCCTCTAATGAGCTTCGACAATTTGTAATCGATGTCAAGCTTTAATTTATCACTTTGTTCCATAAACAGCCGGTATACCGCTTCTTGCATACCCGTACACGATTAACTTTCAAAAATGGCTTCATTCCCCAATCGTTTCATTTGATGATGAGGGTGTGACCTACTGTAAGGGGTAAGCGATCAGCAACCCCATCGGTACTCACTACACCGTGGAAAGATACAATCCGCCAACTGGCTTAAATCACACATAAGTAGGGTTGGGCAAATTATACAATTGGAGGATGATTATATAATTCTATATTATTACATCTTTTAAGCAATATAAAATATTATGCTAAGGTTATGTATGTGTTTTTCTAGCCAATTAAACCCTCAGGATGAATAAAAGTGGGGTAAATTCGAAGGCATTCTTCGGTGGGTGGTTAAAAAACTATTATGGATTTAAACGATATTTATATTATATGATATGAATCATGTGATATACTAAATCATATGATTTTAGTTATTTTCGAATAATCTAATCAAAATCCAACCGAATTTTTATTTCAAATATAATATATAGGGAAAATCGATATATATTTTGCTTGACTAATATTATATATTATAATTTGTTGACGAATACATTCAAATAATTTGATATGTTTTTTCCAACCCTACACATAAGCTTTCAATTTCCATGCACGGAAGAAAACCCCCATACCCCACCCTTCAACCGTCCACCGGGAGTATGTCCACATCCGGCAAAACCAAGGCTGATGAATATCCAAGCCGATATATCACCTTCGCTTCTCCTTCCTATTACATTCAAGCCGATTTGAGACCCGCTTACAATCTATTGTCTCCGAGATTTATCATCCACACGGTACTTCTACAACGTGAAGAATCACCACGTTTTTTCTCGGTCTTGTGTTTCCTCTTGTAGAATGTAGTAGGTAATACATGGGAATACTTATCACGAGTGATAAATGCCAATCTTCAACGACCAATGGAAACGTGCCCAGAGAAGTTTTTCCGATTGGGGATATATCCAAGCGGGTATTTATCATGAATATGGAATCCGGATAGTGATGAACTTTGAATAGTGAGCGGCTGGGTCTGTGTTCTTAATCGGTATCCCCAGATCAATCCAGGGTATAGATACCGAAGATTAGAAATGTAGTTATATGAATCCTCCATATTCTTTCCTGTTGGCTGCAGAAGTCCTTCTTACATTCGTCGATCATTCTCTTTCTTCTCAATTGCAAGGGATATCCAGACATATTTCATCATGGTTGCCTTCTCAAGATCACTACAACTTTCCCTTTCGGTTTTGGCATCTACAGTCGTTGCCATCCCTACACCATCACAGCTTGAATCTCGGGCCGTCATCAATTCCGATGCCGTTGTGGGATTTCCCGAAACCGTTCCCAGCGGGACAGTAGGAACAGTTTATGAGACATATCAACCATATCTTAAGATAGTCAATGGCTGCGTACCATTCCCTGCAGTCGATGCATCGGGTAACACAGGGTATGTTCTTATAGTTTTCTCTTCCGCACCATTTTCATCAAGTCTCTAACATTTCTTAGTGGTGGTTTGTCACCAACTGGCAGTAGCAATGGTGAATGCAGCAGTAGTACCGGTCAAGTATACGTCCGAGGAGCACAAAGCGGATCATACTACGGTATCATGTACTCCTGGTAAGTTCTCTCTAGCTCGCCCTTAAAGATCTAAACTAACACAATCCTAGGTACATGCCAAAAGATGAGCCCTCAGCCGGTCTTGGTCACCGTCACGACTGGGAAGGTGTAATCGTCTGGCTTTCCAGCTCAACCGCCACAACCGCCAGCAACATCGTAGCCGTCTGTCCTTCCGCCCATGGAGGCTGGGATTGTTCCACCGATGGTTATTCCCTTTCCGGTACCAGCCCTCTCATCAAGTACGAAAGCATCTGGCCTATCGATCATTCAATGGGCCTTACTAGTACTGTTGGCGGACAACAACCTATGATTGCCTGGGAATCTTTACCTACTGCTGCTCAAACTGCTCTTGAGTCGACTGATTTCGGCGCTGCGAACGTTCCATTCATTCCATCTGCTTTCGCAAACAATCTTGCAGCAGCTACTTTCTAGACTGGATGTCTTGACTTATGAATAATGGGGGCTATACTCTGGGAGTATTCTGGCTTTTCCCTGTGTAATGTTTGATGTTTGATATTTGATGAAGGCGTTGGCATGTAATCACGTCACTTCAATTTAATGAAAAGTTTATTGTCTAACCCATGCTCATCATGGTGGTCTTATGTGATTATAGGGCTCAAGGTTGCAGCTAACTCTTAGATTACTACAATAATTGGAAGGAATAGCGGCATGTGACGGGAAGAAATCCCGATTCCCATATGATCATCCATCGAACGAATATATCTGAACCTTACACCACTCTTCAATGTCTCAAGTTGAACTCGAAAATTGACAGTTTCTCATATCCCACTTGACATTTCAAAATCATTCAACCCCCCAAAGTTCAAGCTTACCGTGGAATCTAGTGTTCTATCAAGTGCTCAAATTTCTCCGTCTATCACGTGAGTGGCCGTTCATGCCAGGAGCGATTCGGATATCTCACTAGGTTCTCTCCCAAAACTGCTATTCCATCGACTGGCGCATCGAGCGCATTAAAGCAAAGGAAACAAAATTTGAGATAAGCTCGCATTGAAATCATAAAAAAAATACGAATACAGAACATGAAAAATAGGAAACAAGATTATTAGAACCGAAGCGAAGCAAAATGAAGCGATACCAAAGCCTACCATCTCTCTGTCTTTTCAGCTATACACCGTTTCACCCCTACTATCAGAAAACAAAAACAAAAACTCTTTCCATTCAAAAGAAAGCCCGTATCTCCCATCCTCACGCCAGCTAGATTGTTGAGTCTTCGTCCCCTCCCTATCCCCCTCACCACCAGCAAACCCTTTCCTATTAACCGAACTCCAGGATGCCTCTCTCCCACTTTCAGAACGAAAGTTTCTCAACCTCTGTTCTCTCAGCGCCTCTTCCTTTTGTGCGCTTTTCGATGCATGGTTTTGCTCTTTATTGAATCTAGCATTTTGGATTAGCCCCATTGCCAGGAAAATAGGTGATGGATTGCATAACAGGAAGTAGTAGGAAAGAAGGGAAAGAGAAAGTACATACTCAGTCACGCTACCATCCACAGCTGTTGCGGACCAGCTTTTCGAGTAGATGCTTCCTGGCATGTTTGGGAGGGTTTGATATCTTTTTCCTGGGTAGGAATGTGAGGACAAAGTGCGAGTGTTAGGATGATGGTCGAAAACTGATCTGTCTTTGTATACTACAGGTACAAGACAGCAAATATAGCGGGAAGAGAATGTGTGGGTGGGCAAGGTAAAAGAAAAAGTGAAAGTAGAGGCAGACAGTGAAGAATCGGAAGGGCTATGGGGTGAAGAAGAGCGTCAATACAGAAGACCTTGGTGAGAAGGCCAAAGAAGAAGAAAGAGAATTGGAGATAAAGATGCTTAGATTTAAACAGGAAACAGGAAACTTGTACAGAAGAACAGAGAGGAAAGGTAAGAAATGCAATGGCAAATACCTGTTTATATGAGATTCTTATATTCCGTTGCCTTATTTCATTGATCTAAGAACAGCAATTCACACACACATACCTTCATCAGGTGTGAGAAGCAACTAAAATGAGATTTGGCGACCGCAATGACAAAAGAGAATTTTTTACCGCCGGTTTTCAATCGAAAGAACCGTTACCGAATGGAATTCAAACCGGCGACACCAGCAAGCTCCCAATACTAATTCAATCAGTCAATGTCAGAAAAGAAAACAAACAATCATTCACAAATCACCATTCACAAGTAATGAAATTTGTATGCACACCCTCAATATTGTGTACCGTTGGCTTGTCATTTATTAGTCACCACTATTCCGGTGATAAGCAGCGGTTACACTATCAAGCGCGGTTGCGACACACACCACATAAGCTCACAACATGAAATCCCAATTATTCCACGATCGTGCTTGTTATTGGCAGTTTTCGATGACCGTAGCCGCAGCCGTACATCACGAACCCTGCCCATCTCGAGCCTCTATCTGCAGCCTGACACATCAAATATGATGGATTATCGGAAACGCGTACGATGAATTAAGTGCCCAGTAGTGGTTGATCATGATGACGGATCGTGATCGAAAGAGGAAAGGATACCTAGATAGACAGACTATCGTTTGACTTAGTGAGAGTCACCTTGGATGTAAGCGGCTATTTCTGGGATCGCGTACTGCGCTTCCGTATTTTGATCGACCTTACTGAAAACCATAAAACAGATTCATGTACACGAATATATGCGACGTTCAAACCACCGGGGCTACCAGAATCAGTCATATTATTGGTGTATAGTGGATGTAAACGTAGAGTCCAATTGAAAATGATCTTGTATAGTCGATTCGAATTAAATGGTTGTCCGAAATCGTCCGGTAATTTAAGACTTCCGCAATTTCATCGAATCCTCTTGGAAACGGACCTGCTTCTTAACAGAGTTTAGTGCCGTTGGAGATTCCTTGATCCTTTTATCTTCCACTGCCTGTACACCATGTACAGACCTCATGTGCGTATTCAAAATGTTATCATCTGAATATAAAAGTCCACAAGCAATACACTTCAAACCATTTGTATGAAAAGAGGTCAGATGGCGATAAAGATAGTCCCGAAAAGCATACTTTTTGGTGCAAAGCGAACATCCGAATGGCTCCCCTTCTGTTTTATGTATACCTCTCATATGTCGCTCCAGATTTTTCTTACTAAATTCTTGATGACAAATCGAACAACTGCATTTATCAGACGGATCTTCTCCAACACCCATTTTGTTACCGGAATCAGAAAGAGATTGCGAAGCTTCGATAGGCTTGGTTTTGGAGCGTTCGGAGGTGCTTGGAAAGTTTGAAGCCAGCGACTCGGATCGTGGATTTGTATCTTTATTTTCGCTCAATGGGATATCCCTCTTTGAATGCTTAGGAATGACAAACTGTCTCTGTTAGTATATAAGCCTGCCTTTCATTCAAAGAACCACTTACATGTGATTTTGATTTCTTCCGCGACTGAGAGACAATCGAAGCATCTGCAGGTTCATCCCGTTTACGCTTTTCGCTGACCGCTGAGCTAAGTAGAGAGATAGAGGTTTGAGGGACTGATGGCAGTTTTCTGGCCGGATTCACAACAGCAAGTACTGCTGGTGGTGATTCTGGGTCATCTCTGGCAGATTTCGCGATAAGTGGCCCTTGTTCCTCTCTTTGATTGCTATTGTTTAATGCAACTGGAAAAAACGGATTTTTCAAGGCTTTCTTGATAGGTGAAATCTTATTTGAGGATTGCTCGATTCTCGAGTTTGAGCTTCTTCGAAGTAATGGATGTGGATTTTCAATGATGCCTTCATCGATAGTATCGGCAAGCAAAGATTCAACCACTGCTCTAGCATCGGGATACTCGACACATAAACGGAAAAGTATCTTACCGAGCTGGTCGCCACTAGATGATGTGATGGCGTCTGCTAGGGGGCGAAAGAATCGTCGCTTGTCGGGTTCGATTGATATGAGTATAGTAGATGATTGTGAAAGCTCGTCCTTCCTCAGAGGTTTTGGATTGGTCGAAGGTCCACTTTGGGGTTCATGATCAATTCCAAATGGCTTTTGAGGCGAGGCTGTATTGGCGGATGTCTCATTGTCTGAATCAGAATTGATGTTTGATTCAAATTCGCCATCATGTCCTTCCTTGGCTGTGACATATTTTGCGTCCCGAGCCGGCGGTACCATAGGTCTAGCTGCTTCCAAAGCTTTGAGTTTTTCAGCCTTCTTCTGTTGTAACAGAAATTTAATATCAAGGTCAGCCATTGTGGCTTGATACAGATCTTTAATTTCCACCTGATTTGACAACTCGAAAGATCGACAACAAAATGTGATGGATCAAAGAACAACTTCGAAGTCGAAGGATGATTTGTACATGAGTTAAGGCCTTAAGAAGAAGAACTAAGGGCAACAGAAGGACGATTCGTGGATATTCTGAGGATTTCACGATCGTTCAAATGTTTGGAATGAATTGGACAAACGAGTGATGAGAAGAAGAACCGATGCGCACGATAAAACTTTTGAGCCAAATTCAATTGAATCCAATAAATGAAGAATAGTAGAATATGGGGAATTGCGATACTTAGTGAGTGGGAAAAGAAACCAACACGTTGGTTGCCTCTCTTATCACTCTGAAACCTTGATAACAACAAAAGAAATTATTTCATGTGGGTGAGGTGGGATTGTCATCGCGCTCGCGAGTTCAAGAAGAAAAAAAAACGCGATGTTAACTGTCAAATTCTAAAAGAAATATCCATGAAAACACGTGGTCACGAGATCTTTGGTCAGATGATATTAAGAATTGAGTTGGTCGTTCCTTCACTTATGTTCTTTGAAAAACTGTTTGCCTGATTTATTGTTCAAGATACCTAGATTCAAACATTCAAATGTCTCAAAAGAAGACTTGTAGGTCATTTTGACCAGTCCTAGCGGAAAACAAAGCATTTGAAATATCATTTCCACTGATACTTGGGGGAATACTCGATGCGTGTCTCCTTCCTCCATTCATGTCGAGAATGTCTATTATAATGTTGTATGCCACACTCTACATACATATTTTGATCGTAGAATATTGTCTCGATGCATCTCACGGAAATCATGGGCTGAAAGCTATCTTTCGGGCAAAGAAATCTTATCTTTACGCCCTTACATATATTCAGATGTTCCAAGTATTCTTTTATTGGTGGCGCGATTGAGAAAAAACAAATCCTCTACTCAAATCTTTTTTTTGAGACCTGCTTATCGACTATTCTGTATGTCTTACTAACAACTCCTGTGTTCCTTCCTCGAAAGCCTGCATCACTCTATTCTTGTTTGCGCTTTCTTTCCATGATCGATATTCCTCGGCCATCTTTCTCCAAGCTGGTCTGAATCAACTTCATTTGCCTGTATCTTTTTTAAGAAACATACGGGCTTTCTCTTGCCCCTTGGTGGCTTCAAGAATTTTCCCGAGCTTTCAATTGTTTAGTATTTCAATACTCTCTGCCTTGCTCCATTTCTTACTCCTCCTTCATTCTCATCATTAATTGTCCATCTTTTGCATTTAAACCCTCCATCCTTCTGGAGGTTCGTCAACGCCATCCTTTAAGCATCAATCGTTCTGCTCAAAGCAATCATGGCACCACATTCGTTAAGAGATTCGTTATTCTTTGCTGCCACATTTGGTGTTGCAAGTGCAAGCATCAAATTAGAGGGTCGTAATCCTCAACACTTGGATCTTGCACCCCGTCAGGCAAATTGTCCACCTCCAGTGACAGTCACTGTTTATCCAAGTTTTTGCTCAGCTGCGCCATCGTCCACTGTTGCATCATCTTCAGCTTTCCCTACATCCAGTGCAGGACCTGAATCGATAACCACTACCGCACCAATTGTCTCCAGCCAATCGACTTCGAATCCTGCTACGACTAGCAGTGCCTCAGAGCCAACTTCTTCCGGTAGTAATCCTCCAGAATCTACGTCGATTCCCGGTAGTTCAGGAAGCCCCTCTTCATCAATTGGTCCTGTCTCGTCCCAAGGAAGTGTGCTTCCAACTCTTCCGAGCTCCGCAGTTGTATCAAGCCTCTCATCGATACTTCCTTCTTCGGTACTCCCCACTTTCAGTATTTCGGAGTCGCAATTATCCTCAATATATATTTCGGTTAGCAGTACTTTATCCTCCGAAGCTGTTCCTACCAGCAGTAATGTTCTCTCCACCGCCCCAGGATCCTCCTCGGCAGCTGCTAGTACGTCAAATCCTGTTAGTGATAGCTCTTCAATCTCCTCTGGGATTGTAGCAACTTCATCAAATGTTCTCTCCTCAATTGTGGCTACTTCTGAATTACCAGTCCAATCTTCAACCGCATTATCGACAGAATTGACTGTTGAGACTTCGACCGCTCTTGAGACATCTTCGCTTCCAGGTAGCACTGCATCACTTTCTACCTTTGTCCCAACTGAATCCTCGGTTGGGACTTCCACTGTTTTCGAGACTTCTTCGCTCCCAGGTAGTACCAGTATATCAATCGAGTCTTCTTCAACTGTAGCTGCTAGCTCTTCCGTGCAAACAATTTCCAGCTCAGCCGTTCTTTCCCAAAGCTCGGCTATCGAAACCGGTGTATCTACTCTGTCATCTGGAATTTCCAGTTCATCGATTCCGTTGATATCATCTTCGTTTATTTCTGAGTCAGCATCAAATTCCGGAAGTTCAGTTATTTCCACGACTGCCACGTACTCGGCATCCGCTTCCAGTAGCCCACCATTATCAGAATCGGCATCTACTTCGGATACCTCGGCAAGTTCTGGATCTGCTTCAGCATCTGCAACTTCTACCCCTCCAGTAGTTTCTACTTCTGCAGTAGAATCTAGCAGTGTTTCTGGAATTGCTAGCTCATCAACTGGTCTAGAATCCAGCTCAAGCGTCCCTACTGTCTCAAGTGCAACCTTGTCCGAAACAGTATCGCCATCTGCTAGCTCAACTGTATCCGAAGAAACCTCATCCGTATCTTCAGCCGCTAGCTCGGCCTTTGAAAGTGGTACATCCTCGGTCTCATCTTACATCGCTATAAGCTCCACGGTCCCAGGATCTTCATCTTCTATTGAATTCAGCTCACAACCAACAGTAACTTTGAGTTCACTTCCAGTAACTTCCGTTTCGAGCTCCGAGTCTACTTTGGCACCTAGTAGCTCGATAATTTCGTTTGTACCAACTTCTACCATTGCTGTATCCAGCGGTGCTGCTTCTTCTGCTGCAATTAGCTCCAGTGCCGTTATATCCTCAACTCCCGCAGCTAGCTCCAGTGCTACCACTACTGGAACATCAATTACTGGACCAACTCAAGTTCCATCCATTGTTACTGCTGCCGGTGTATACGAGGAAATAGGTTGTTTCTTGGATTCTACCTTCGATGGTTTCCCATTGACTCCACCTCCCATGCCTGTCAATAACAACAGTTCTCCAACTGTTACTGACACCCCCGCTAGCTGTGCATTGTTCTGTTTCACTGCGAATAATGGGGGTCCATTCACATACATGGGTATTGAACCAGGTCATTGTTATTGTTCAAATGGATTCAATCTCGGTCAAACAGAAGGTATTTGCAACTTCCCATGTCCAGGTGATCCATCGCAGTCTTGTGGAGGAAATTCACCTGCCAAAAGATTCTCACGACGTAACGGCCCACCTTCAATCGTCGCTTACCAACTTATTCCTGCGGCTGTATCATCTTCCACTATTAGCTCATCGCCAGCTACTTCCTCATCGGTTCAATCTTCCGGAAGTGACATTTCTTCTGTTGCTTCTAGCACGATTCCCGGATCTGCATCAGCTAGTGTCACTTCTTCGGCTGCTCCTTCTTCGATTGCCTCGAGTCAAGGATCTTCTTTACCTTCCGAAGTATCCAGTATTGCCTCCTCAACCGTTCCAAGCCAATCTGCTTCGGCCTCGGCATCCGCTAGCGCAAGCTCTTCTGGAGTTTTATCCAGTATTTTACAGTCCTCTTCTTTGGCATCTCAATCAGCCACAGTTAGCTCCAGCATTCCTCTATCCTCAGAAGTTCCTGGAACAACTTCAAATGTTGGATCCTCAATTGCATCATCTTCGAATGTCGCGTCTTCGACTATAGCGTCCTCCAGCGGTGTAGTCTCATCCAGTGGAACCGCTAGTACTTCTGCAATTTCTAAAACTTCTTCGAACATTCCAACAAGTTCATCTGCCGTTTCTTCTATAGTTTTATCCGGTCAAAGTACTATTGAGCCAACAACTTCAGCTGCTCTTTCCACTGCTATCCCAACCACTTCTGGCTTCTCTTCTGCTGAATCAAGTACTATTCAACCTTCAATATCTTCCAGTGGTGTACCAACCACTGTTGAGTCATCGGTCTCATCCAGTGCTATATCCACATCTGAGCCAGCTCTCACCAGTGTTGTACCAACCAGTAGTGTGGGATCTTCGATCTCATCCAGTGAAATTATCGGCTCGTCAGCACCACCTTCCAGCAATGTTGAACAATCCACCAGCCAAGCTACAAATGCCCCCTCAACTACAGCTGAGCAATCATCAGTTGCCTCATCTGTACTTCCAGAATCTAGCACTATTTCGAATAGTGCTCAGCCAAGTAGCTCTTTAGCATCCACGACTTCCGATTTTTCTTCGATAATCGCCTCAGAATCCAGCACCATCCCAAGTACCGTGCTCCCCACCACTTCAGCTGCTTCCATCACCTCCGAATCTTCTTTAGTCCTTAGCTCAGAATCCAGTACCATCCCAAGTACTGTGCTCCCCACCACTTCAGCCGCTTCCACCACTGAAATTCAAAGCTCTTCCACTACCTCTGAGCTTCCCAGCAGTACATTATTCTCCTCCTCGGCCGAGTCCTCCTCAATTCTACCAACTTCCTCTGCTGCTCCATCTTCATTCTCTACCCGTACTTCCTCAAGTTCGAGTTCTAGCACCACTTCCACTTGCCCAGCGGCAACAATCACAAATGGTGGATTTGAATCCGGATCTTTGTCTCCATGGGCACCTAGAAGTGATGGTATTGCCAACGCCAAGAGTAACGTTGTTATCAACAACCCTGCAGTTGCTCATACTGGTAACTCTTACCTGTAAGTATTCCCTTCCTCTTCTCCTGTCCTCATTCATCTCTTCCAGGAAACCCCAAACTGACATTCACCCCCTAGCCAAATAACCATGACTCAAGACTTCTTGTCTCTCATCCAACAAACCACCACCATCTGTCCCACCACCAAGTCCCTCACCGTCACAGCCTGGGGTCAAGCTGCCAAGTCCCGCGACTGCTGGCTCCAAATCTGTGTTAACAAAGATAGTTATTGCTCCGTTCCCACCCCTCTCAAGAAGGGTAAATGGAAGAAGAACACACTCGTCTACAAACCCAAGAAGAACTTGGTTGGCAAGACAGATGCCAAGGTACAGATTTATACCGAGTGTAGAGGAGAGAGCGATGGTATGGTATTGGTTGACGATGTGGTCATCACCAAGACAAAGTTGAGCTCTAGAGAAATGGCGCCACAATTGGCGCCAAGAATGGGGACTTTGAGGATGATTGACGCTTAGGCTTCTCTTCTTCATTTGTTAAGAGGAAATATTCTTGAAATTTAGGCGTGTACGCTAGTGTTGTTGGCGAGGAGAGATTGAGATAATGTGGGGGAAAGGGGAGGATTAGATGCGATTCTTTCATTTTGTTCTTTTAGGTTTTTTTAGATCTTGATTTTGGTTTTGAGTTAAGATTGAAGCTTTTTTCTTGGGGTAGAACTAGGGTTTAGATAAGATAAAGATATGAGAAACAATGTATGAGGAAAATATAACGATGGATTAACGGATGTTTTTTCTTAAGTAGCTTTATGTATTAGTTATGTACGAGGTTTAGATTATATTATATCTTTAAGAGTACCTTAATTTATTTGGAATCAGCTTTGATTTTCACCTTCATTGATTTTTGATTAGATCTCTCGTGCTTGAACATGGTGAACCCGTGGGAGCTTGTGTTTGTGCAATGGAACATGATGCGGGGAATACCCCGCAATTGAGGTTATACCGCCTTAGGGTTTCGCAGCGGCAGAATTAAGCACCGCGACTAAAACTGCAAGGGGCTCGCGTGTCAGTGTCACATCACGTCATTGGTCAGTGCGGGGTCGCGTCTGTTGTTCAATTAAATTTTTTTATTGAACGATTGTTTTATCAGCTCATTCTATTTTCGAACCATTAACCGCACCCATCAAGCCACCCTTGTTCCTATGTTTTATCATTATATCGTTATATCGTTCCTGTTTTTTAATCCAATCCTGTCCTGTCCTTTCCGTTTCCTTTTCCATTGCTGTTTCCAATGCTGTTTCCAAACTCCAAGCTCCAAGCCCTGATATCCCAGCTCTTTCTTCGCGCGTGGTACACTTGATCCAGATATATATAGATAAATGGCATAGCAAGTGCTAGTACAAGTACAAGCACAAGAGTTATTGCCCACCGCCATTGCCGTTGAAAGCCGCATCGAAGTTTTGGATGCTGTTTCTAGCAGCGGCGGTGTAGTACTGGGTGGCTGCTGCCTGATCACCGTTGTACGCAAGGGTAGGCGATGCGTAGGTGGTAGAGTGTTGAGGATTATTGGTGTAGGTTTGGGTGCGGTTGCTTGAGAGGGAGGATTGTTCGGCTGGGGATGTTTGAGTTGTGGAAGTGGAAGAGGAAGGGAGGTTGACACTGTGTTGGAGGTGTATATGTTAGTGCATGTTGTTGGCAGATGTCTGAAAGGGAAGTGCAGGACAGGAGGTGGATGTGATGTGGCTGTTGATTCGGAAAGGTGTTGAAAGAGAAAAGGTAAAGTATGTATGCCAAGGGGGAACGGGATACATGGGTCATGCAAGATGATGACGGGCTGTATGCGGAAAAGAGAGAGATGGCAGAGCAGTTTGCATCAACTGGAGAGACACAACAGAAAGGTAGAAGTAATTGAGGAGAGAGGGTGAGGAACGGGTGTACTAAGTAGTAGTAAAAGGTCCCAGGAAGAGATAGAAGTAGAGAAAGAAGTAGTGGATAGGGAGATACGAATGCATGAAAGAACAGCAATGCTTCAGTATGGAAGTGTGAAGTGTGAAAGCTCAGTGTACAATACGAGAGATGTAGTACGAGCGCAACGGGAAGTGGAATGAGAGACGAGGATTGATTTTGGTGGATTTTTTGAAGAGAGATAACTCATGAAAGTCGGAAAAGAAAAGAGAGGTGGTATTAACTCACTCAAAAGTAATTGAGCCTTGGACGGCAGTGATGGAAGTTTGGCTAGCCATGATGATGGTGTTTCACGGATATTCACGTGATGATGGATGGAACTCGGTGGTCTTGAGGTGGATATGGATATTGTAGAAGGTAATTGAGCTTGAGGATATGAGTTAGGAAAAGATATAATTGCAGCGAAATGGCGAGCTTTATATAATCCACCACCTGCACCAGAAAAGTCGGCACTTATTGTAGGCGAATAAATCAAGTCGGTAGGTATGCAAGCATGCCTACCTACAGTACTTTACCGAGTGTGACCATGGGTAAGTACCTAATCTTAAAGAGTCGCGCTAATTTTATCCTTGCAACCCCCCCAAGGGTTCGACCCATAAAGCAGCGATACTGTATCTGGAAATCTTTCTTCTAAATCTAATATCAAATTGATCAATCGTTCTTTCAGACCAGGACTTTGACAAAGTTGAGGAGTAAATTCATATTGAGTTAATAATCTTATCAATATACATCTAGATCATTGTTATCAGTACTCTTAATGTTTTTTTCAGGAATAATAAATCTACTAATTCAGAGAATCAGGAGTTGGATAAGAAATCTTGATATTCTATTACAATTGCAATTGAGTAACCGTACATCAAGCAATTGAATTGACGAGGCTTCAAGTCAAATTGTACACTAGTATCAACTTTAAAACCCCAGCGACTTTATAACGCTAACCGAAAGGAATTCAAGTTTATATAATCGAGTACAGCTTTAAGTCCAATAGGAATTTGAAAATTCTGAAAAAGTGAAATAATCTCCTGATCTAGCTCTACAATTTCATATATCAAATGTTCTGAAAAGTTGTATTTTAAAAATATTTTAAAGTCGCTGGGTTTTCAAAGTTGGTGTAGTGTATTAGTTGGGAACCGACTAGAAACCTCTGAACGGGTGGAAGTTTTTGTCTCTCTGTACGACTGGGTATGGACTCTTTAAGCGGCGTGACATAATTCTAGTAACAGAACCCCGGTATTTAGAGGCTCATCCCGTTATGGCACCAGATTCTGGGGGCGAAGCAGGGGTTGGGCACACCCTAGATGACACTGTCATTTCTGTTCATTGTTCATCAGCATCCTCAAGATCAAGATCGACGGACAAGGGTACAAACTCTAAATGATATTAAAGCTATCAAAAAAAAAAATCCAAGAATTTTACCCGAGTCCGCCGGAGTTTTCGGTGACCTCTTATTGCTTTTTTTTTGATTTAGAAAGTCACATACAGATCATAGAAATTGTGTTACGCGCGAGTTGAACCTATAATCGCAACAAAAATTGGGGTTTTGATTCTAGATCATCAATTATGGTTCATAATTTACGCGACGCTCAAACCCGTAAGGCTACGAGCATCCATGGATGTTATAATTGCAATTGTGAATCTTTTCAGCTGTTAGCTACCCCTGCCCTGCCCTGCCCATGTTCTAGTCACTAGTATTGCGACCAATCATTTGTTCTTTCCACGACTCTAGGGTTAGATAAGGTGTTTCTCATCGTGTTAAGTTCTGCCACGCAACGGTTCCCAGACTTCGAGAAGCTCTCGAAGACTTGTCTGAGATCGTGTGGCTCTATTGACTACATAGCTCCACAAAATGATGCCACGACTTTTATAGGTTCTCTAAAGTTGGTTTATTCTTGTTACTTTTGGAGCCCAGTAAATCCGCAACAGAGATTGTTGATCTTCACATAAGGTTTCGCTGTCCCGGCGACATTTCATCCCTCATATACATTTGAACCACGCACAGATACAAAATTGCTATTTAATACTTGAGATGAGATTTGCAAAGACGCAGTGAAAGCTCTAGATTCTTTTAAGGAAGACTTACAAGAAATTATTTCGATACGACTTCTGTCGATAAATTGATCCTACCAGGTTACCAAATCAGTGTCAGATGGTAATAAGTACCTAGGCACGGGTCGTTAGATCTGCTGATAAGGAGAAATGTATTGCCGGTATCCGATGGTCCCTGGTCGTCGGGTAAGAGACGTAGCTTCCGTGAGTCGGAAATTGCGGGTCCTAGACAGGTACCCGTGAGTGGAACTGACGTTTCAATAACAGGCTCTACGTAACCGAAAAAAGCGGCGGAAATTGAGTACCCTTTCAAAGATCTTTTTTAATAGATTATAAATTCTTTTCAAATTAAATATTGAAATTTGAAAAAAGCAAACGAAAATTTGAGTCTTTTTCGTATTGATATTGAGTGTTTTTATTATTTAATATTAAATCGAAAAAATATCTTAGTTGTTAAAGTTCTTTTGAATGATGGTCAATTTCCGCCGCTTTTTTCGGTTATGTAGAGACAGACAGGCTTGCTTGCATTCGCCGTCGCTTGTAAATGTTACTCCCAAACTTAGTTCATGCAGGGATTGTCTTTTAGACAAGTATGAGAGAATACTTAACTGCTTCCCATGAGAATTTTACAAATTGGATTATTTAAATTGTGGTACTAATAATAGAGATTCAAATTGTCTAACGTTTTCTTTCTGTCCATGGGCCAACTAAGATTCTGCACATAAAAAATGTTTTCTAGGGCAATATTATTGGTGGCCGCGAATGCAATTCAGCTGCTTCGTCGGTAAATTCACGACAAATATTGAGTTTCACACTGAAAACAATAAGTTTCTGACTACTCATAATATTTTCGCGACAGTTATTTTGCAAAAAGACTTTTATGAGAATTATGCGCCCTTTAAAGCATTTACATAGCCACTGAATCATCTGACATTTTGCCTTGGGCCTCGTTGGCATTTACGTCGGCCTAAGTTGCAACTTGGCAGTATATGCTTTACTTCTATTTTACCTCAACTTTCACTCTATCTAGTTTCAAATAAACATCTTCGATGAGGCCGACTATCTTCTCTTTTCTCAAGTGCTGATTTCTTTATTATTATTTCTTAGAAAATTTCACTTCAAGTACTAAACCATGAATAGCAATAATATTCAGTCTCAAATATCCCAAATGAGAAAAAGAAGACGCTTAGGCAAATGCGGACTTGGAGAGTGATCTAAGCTTGCACAGGCGGCCAGCTGATGAATAAACTCTTCCCTCTTGGTTTCTTGGAGTCATGGAAATCCCGAATCTACAACATGTTCTAGATTTTCAGTCACCTCGGGTTCTACAAAGACTTCAAAACATAGGCGGATCTAATTGCCACAAGTAGCCTCATTGGTGTTTACTGCGTCTTTGATTATCAGACGATAAGCTACCAACATCAAAGTCCTGTCCATGAATACTGTATGCACCTAGGTATATCGGTAGGTAGTTAAACGTCTTTCGGCAACCTGATTGATTTTGGCGAATTTGTTCTTCACGGAAAGATTCTCATGCAGAAATTTTCTGTCATTTAAGTCAAGTGAGTGGTTGTCAGATGTGATCCTTGTACTGAGGCTTCATCCGATGTTTCAAGTGAGGTTGCACCTCTCCAAACCACGCGTGTCTGTTTTTCTTTCCGCAGTGCTTGCGTCCCGGAGTAAAAATCTCCTAATAGTGGTATATAACTCTTTCAGTCATGAGTCACCAGCAATGTCGCCGATCTGGACAAAGTTTTGAGCGGTATGTAAGTATTTGTTATGAAGACATTTGGAACCCAGTTCTTTGGTTGTACAATGAGGACTCCGATGCCACGGTTTATTGGTATTCAAACACTGTTGGAAAATTTTCTTCGCTTCACATGATCTCGGGCATTGGCCGATGCTGTGGTCACACTCGAATTGTATCTTCCCATCAATTCTTCTGCACCTGCAGCCTTACCGTCAGGCAAAAATAACTCGACCCCATTCAAAATACAGGACTTGTCACACCCGCTGTTTCGGCGACTTGGCTTTTGACGCAGAATTTTACAAGGAGGAGCCGAGATACTTTCCCCTGTTTTCTTTTAAACTGTATTTTGAGGCCGATGAGTACTGTATTATAAGTATTTTGTGAATTGCAGGAATGATAAATGTATCCAATTTCTAATGCAGTAGTAGTCTGAAGCTATGGAGAGAAGGTCGGGTTTCCGACAATTATTCTGATCATTTCTTGCTCGGTTGTTGTATGAGAAGCGATCGTTTTATCTTTTGTTTCGAAAGTCCATACAGGTATCCACTTGAAACATATTGCATGAGTAGATATAAGATGAAATGACTAGTCCATATAGAGCATTCAGAAATCGAAGGGACTTGTTAATTGATATATATTACGCTTCCTTTGTTCATCTGAAGATAATGATTGTCTATCTCTTGAGTAACCTCTCCAAGTACATGCCAAGTAGCCATCACTATTCTAGCATCGTGCATATTCAAGAAGGCCCTATTTCTACCTCTCATAGAGTCTCACTCAATTTAGAGCCATTGCGACTATTTTTAAGTGTATTGTAAAATTTTATCATAATTAAGAACAAATCTATATCCAATCAGAATACCAAAAAGATTCCGTTACTGCCTCTCGTCAAGCCCACTTGTCTCTGAACCAATCCAAGATATTTCACTACATATTCCGTGTATCCAACTTTGCTTTAGCTCTTCCTTAAGTTCCAACACAATGAGATATCCAGTTTTTGTCTTGCATGGAATATACCCAGGAACTATATCGATATCCTCTAGCTACTACTTCCATTATCATTGTTGTGGTGAAAGGTCGCATCGAAGTCGTGCAACTTGTTCTTCATTCTCGGCACAGAAATGGCGACAGTCTTGGCCTCAGTTTTGGGATGTTGACTGATCGTTGCATGAGGAACAGGATAATCGAGGTCTGTGAGGTAGGAGCTAACGCGGCTTGCGGGGAGATAGGTGGGCTCGGTATGGGTAGTGTTGGCAGTGACGTTGAGACTAAGAAGAAACATTTGTTAAATGATGAAGCTCAGAATAGAAATTGATAATACCACTGCGCATAACTGTTACTTTAACTTGTAGCAGGAAGTGGCATAACACGGGAAGGTATAGAGTAAGTCAAGCGGAAACGACAAGCCAGTCACTTGAGACTAGTTCTGGAGCTAAATCCAGCACCATGGGAATGTGAACTCACTTGGATGAGACGGAGCCTCTAACGAGTACCGCAGGACTCTTAGAAAGATTTGACATGATGATCTAGTAATGTATGCTTGGTATATGTAGCTCCAGATGTTCCATGTGGTCTCGCAATATAACAATATTAGGAAACTTGTGGGTGAAGAGAATATCATCTTGGAGATAAGAAAGACTATTTATATGATAATCTTCGTTCTAGGGAGCCTAGTTGTTCAACATGCTTCAACAGTCGATCTGTTTTCTTCTGGTGGTGTTGATGTATGGTGTATGGCATTGATAGTTTTAATGGATCGTACGAGAGGGTGATAATATGCAAGTTGCTACTTCGAGATGCATCCATACGCCTCTGAACTGCAGAATTGGCAACGGATATGGTACATGGCATTGTTTGATCCGAAGAAGTGCACAAGAGGGTAGATATGTGCAAGTTGCTTCTTTGAGGTGAATGCATGCGCCTTTTAACTCTGGAATGAAAGGGACTGGTACTGATTACAGGTAGGGACTGGAATTGTCTCCAAGATAGGTAAGACGGGTTTCGGGTCATCGAGGTCAATTATGTCCCAATTCTCAGGATGGGTAAGACAGGGTTTGGTATACTAAGGCTGCATGCTGCCAAGATTTGATTCTTGGAGGCAGGGCAAGAAAACTTTATTTTGCGCCAAAGCGTCCACGGAACAAATAGAATGAATGGTGAGCCATTCTTCAGAGAAATTTGAGGAAATTTTCTACTTGTTTAGGATTAGCTTGTCTCCATTGGATTTCTAGAAGATGTACACATTCATTTAACTCCTAAGAAACTGACGAATAAGAACTATCTATCGCACAGCTTAGAATTCCGACGCGCCCTCTTCTTTCCGTCACTAGCATAGCTTATTATGCCACTACAAATTGCTTTGCGAAATTCCGGACTTAAAGGTGATTGAGCGAAACACTGGCACAGTAAACATACGAGACTTAAAACCCGATATAATCGTCATCAAGCGCCTCCAACAGACATATAAGAATTAAATCCGACGTAAAAAGAACTATGCAGCCGCCAAAAAAATATAAGAGTTAAGTTTGAAATCAGCTGAATTAAGCATTTCGGTGTTTGAGAGTACATAACACTGCATGTTATCACTCCTCTCACGATGTAAATGAGCGGATTCAATGATACTGGGATTGACATATGAAGTTTGCTTGTGTGTTTATATCGAAAAGATTCAGCTTCAAATTCCCTGTAGGGTGGTAAGCATCATAACTGTTATCCGTTGCTTTTTTTTGGATCACGTTCATTTGTGTATGAGCGAATCTTCAACCTCGAATTGATCACGTGATCCAACCCCGCTTTCCATTTTGATGCCTGTGGCTGCAGCTGCAGCTTACATACACGATTGCGTAAGGATGCTACGTTATCTATTATGATTCTCTGGCTTACCTCGATATGATTATCACCATTTCATAATTGCCACATAATACTGAGCGAATCCACAATTTTGGAGATAGTTCAAGAGTAGATGTCTCACAAAAGCTTAAGCGAGAAATTAAAGGGGAAATTTTGTATTATTTCCTAACAAGACATTTTCCACTCAAAAGCAGACAACTCAATAAAATTATACCCCTCCACAACTTAATAAATGCTTTTGAATTTCGACACAATAGCCGTGGGCTTTATGGAATCGACAAGTGATCTCCTTACTCCGCCGGAGCCCTATTATAAATTTTTAATTTAACTGCCCTTCTCCGCATGTCATCCCTGGGCTAATGCATCGTCCAAGTAACAAATTTAAGAGCCAGTATTGCTCCGATCATTAAAATCATTGTTACCCCCCCTGGTATTGCCATCAAAAGTCTTATCGAACTCCTCCAGCATGGTACCCATTCTATATCCGGCGGTCGCTACTCTGTTAAGCTGTTTATGAACACTAGCTTGAGAGTTGTTGACCATCATTACATATGGAACAGAGGTATTCGGGTCTCGGAGGTAGCTATGAATACGAGAAGCCGCGATTCTTTGAGATTCCGCGAACTTGGCAGAGGAAAATCGAAGAGATGTAATACAAGGCAAGGTTTCTTCTACTTATTGCGCAATTTAGTCTATTTGCTATTTTTTGATATGGGATTAAAACAAAATGGATTTATGTTTGATCTTTTTTATCATGAATTCTGTATTCTCAAAACTTCTTCGTGGACCTCACGCTATTCGATTGTGTTTCGCTCGAGGTATCATTTTCAACATGATTTTTTTTTTCGGAGGATATATTCTCATAGTTACATCCAAAGAAGCTTGACATGACTGGTATATATTTCATCCATGTTGAACGAATATCTTGTATCAAAATTCTTAAGAAATTTAGTTGACGAAATGATAACTCAGAAACGGAGTCAACCGGTTTCAACTTAGATTTCTCATCTTGGGGAATACTGCACTTGCATTGAAGATTGGCGTATTTCACATTTTCGAAAATGCTTTCATTCTGTAAATCATCATGTACTATTTATAAAGGTTGATGTGAAGAACTCTCAAAAGGTCGAGCCGACCGAAATTTCGGTCAGCTCGACTAAATAGGTTTAGTGTATCTGTTGGGAAAGGGATCATGTGGCCGCACTAGCGCCTCGGCACTACAGCATTATACGTTTCGTAACCTTATTAGCTTTTAACACCTCAAGCAATATTACAACAGTGTGAACCATAGTGGTATATTGTTTCCACCATCCCCATGGTGATACCAACAGTATCCTTATCATACCTTGAAATTAGCTTCTTAATCGTTGTACTGCCACACGACCACCAATTAAATTCAATTGTCGGCAAGGAAACAATAGCGAATTCATGTCTTTAATTGGGATAGAGAAGACACTATGGAGATCTGTCACATAGAGCTGCAAGTGTATCGGAGGACTCGCGATCAGTCAATCGGGAAATTGAATCAATTCCCAAAGAAACTAGTGTCTGGATTGCCCAAAGAACTAGTTCCTGTCTTATATCTAGTGACCTGAGCTATAGGAGCATTTTTTAATCCATCAATCCGGAAAGCTTCTCTTCATAGCCATGCTTTGAGTTCAACCTTTGTTCTTACTCACTACTGCAATCGATATGCCCATTCTGATCCCTCCCGCAAAGCAAGCTCTCTGAAAGATAGCTTACTACGAAGCCAAAGTTCTTCCATGTGTCATAGCTAGTCACGAAACTCAGTAATACATCTTTTGGGGTCCGCTGCAATAGCTTCCTCGCGAATCTCGGTGTGTTTTGCGCTAGACGGCTCGTCGCCGATTATAGAAGGCGAGTTATGGGGTACATACTGATCCGGATCAGCAAGGTAGCGATCTATGCGGTAAGCATAGAGTGATGAGGGATTGGTAGTTTCGGTAGAGGCGGGGACTGAACTGGAACTGGAACAGTTCGGCGAAGTAGAACTTTCATTCGTTCTAGTTAGATACAAGAGTGTTAGACTTGCTGATTTTTGCTTTGAGACTGGGAGAGAATATCAAGGAAACGATCAACATATAAAGAGGTACAGAAAGATCGATGGCCATGTCAAGTGCATAGTTGGCAGAGCTGATTGTTTTAGGCTCTAAAGCAAGGGACCGAGTGATGAAAACGAGAAGAGAAAGACTTGACTACGGCTAGTATCCAGCAAGGAACAGAGCAGGGCATCAAAGTGGTAGAAGAGAATGAGTCTTCATTGAAGCTTGAAACCCCTCGAATGAAATGAACCACCTATGAAACGGAAACGGGTCTAAAAAGAAAGAATACTGACCCAGCCACCTCGGAGCCTTGGACCGCCAAATTGGAGCATTGACTCAGGCTAGACATTATAATAGTGCTTGTAAAGATTTTTGATTCGGCGGTTCGCAAAAGTATCGTGGTTCAATGGTGACAAGAGGAATTGAATCTGGAGGGAAGGGCTTAGGAGACGTAGAGACGTGCTTAGAGAAGAGGGATCGTATATAATAGTAGTAAATTGAGCAAGCTACTAATTTATAGACGGCAATTTTCATGACATTGAGACTGTTGCGCTCTGAGGAGGAGGCTGTTTCTCACAATGCGCTCGAGCCACGAGACTAATGCATCATGCACCATGCCTATTACTGAACTATGGTCGAAGGGTATGTCACACACCAAAAAATGACTATTCCAACCTAATCCAGACTGCTCTTTTCTCTTTGTAGATGTCTATTGTTGTACAGTCGTCCAACTATTATTATTATTTTCGGCCACAAACACTAAAGTTTTTCAGGTACATTCCAAAATTCAAGAGTATATACCTAATTAACACGTGAAAATCAATACTATCAAACACAAACATATTGACTCAATTTACTAGTATAATCAATCAAGTATCTGCAACAGGAAAGACGGAGGAAAAATCTTGTAAAAAGGTACACCAGCACTGTTGGAGTCATACTCGAATACAAAGTACCTTTTAGATATAATCAGTATTTAAAAAGATCAGTCAAACGAACACTCACCTGAAAGGGAAAGACCAAGAAGTGACAGGTGTACCAACAGTCTATAAACTTGAACTACACGCATATGCACGATCAGGTACACCTAAAATAGAGGCATTACGAGATGGAAGTACTCATATCCAAGCTATTGACATGGTAAGCTTGGACCAGGATAATAACGGGTGGCTGCTCTACCTGCCGAACTATGCTCGGAACGGAACGAACCCGTATGCACTCGGCGAGATAATCATCAGGTGGAAATGTCCCCTTTGCATCCACTAAAGAGATTCCAGAAATTCCCAACGGCGATTCAGACCGACTTATCAAAGTTCAGGCTGGCAGTCCTGATAATCTATGTGCAAGTGGCGTTTGCAACTGCATATTCGGAGAATATTTGAGTGATCCATAGATTTGACAACCACTAGCCGAGGGGTAACAGCCTGTTGAAAGAATTCTCAGTTGCAAACGAAAAGAAACAAATAAGAGCGCGAAATAGGATATAAGAGTAGAACTCTTCGTAGCGAGGCTAAGCCTAAATAGGGCATAACGCCATGGACTACTGATCACATTTAACCCAGTTTTCTTAATCATTCTCGATGGCGAATAGTGAAACTATTACCAGC